ACAAACTGTCCACTTTCCATTGTGCTTTTTGACCAGGATAGGGTTAGAGATCCATTTCGGACATATCGATTTTCGGATAAAGCGATTGTCAATTAACTTATTTTCATCGCCTAAGGTTTCGTATTTATCTGGATTGGTGGTTCTCCTTTTCTATCTATGAGCAGTAGACTTAGAATCAATTTTCAAGTGGTGGCAAATGACCTTTGGATCAATGCCAACCATGTCTTTATGCTTCCAAGCCAAGACATCCAAGTTTTTGCACAAGAAGCTTTACAGCTTTTCCTTGGCCTCTATTGGTAGATCTTTTCCAACATGCTAGGATTTGGAGGGATTCTGGGTATTTACTTGGAAACTTTCCAATTACTCTACCTGGGCTGTTCGAGACTCACAATCGATGATGCGAGGGTCCAGTTCCTCCCGACTAGCTGCTTCTTCAGCAACTCTTCATTTTTCAGGAGATACTCGTGAAAGCCAATTTTTCAGAGGTGTTTATGACTCCAAAGACTGCCCCTTCTTCAGAGGCATCCATTATTTTGACTTCTTTCCGTTGTTCAGGGTTATGCCTTTGTTCAGTGACATCGTCCATGTCAGTATCTGTTAGGCTTACATTGACACTTCACGATTCTGCTTTTCTAAGGAAGTTTGAATAGCATTCCTTTGCACTCATCTAATGCCTCTGACTATGGTGATTCCATTTTCCATTGGAAACTTCATACATAAATGGTAAATAGACGTAACGGCCTATAATTCCTTTAATTCCAGCCTCCCAAGCACTTTGTGGTAGGCGGAGCAGTTGTCCACCACCAGAAATTCCATAAAGTGATGAGTAGTTAAGAGTGCTATCCCTATCTCTATTTTTAGATTGATTTTACGCCTCAGGACGATACTATCGCTAGAGAAGCCATACAAAGGGGAATTCATTGGGGTCAGCTCGTGGTCAACTTCTATTTTATCATATGTGACTCTAAAGATGATGTTGATAGAGCTTCCATTATCCACTAGCATCCTTTTTAGGCTATTGCAGGCTACAACGGCCCTTACCACTAGGGTGTCACAATGTGGATAATGTATACCAACTGTGTTGTCCGGGGTGAATGTGATGGGTTGAACCCTTCTTTTGGTGGAGGGTCGGTTATTGCTAACTATGAAGCTCACCATATGGGGGTCTTTTGCTTCCCTTGCATAGTTTCTTTAGGAGTTTTGGATCCCCCTAACATATGGGTCTCAAAAAATTGTGTCAATTTTTCTAATGGGTTCACGTTCAGCATTAGCTGGGGGGCTTCTTCTCTGTATTTGACCATCCCTAGGTCTTTCCCTATCACTATCTCTCCTTTGAGGGATGTCGTTTCTATTGGAACGCATCGGCTCATCATTCCTAAGCTGTTGGTTCTGCCTAAGAGGAGTGTCTTTTCGAAGGCACCTATTTCTCCATTAATTGGTATTAGAGGGTGCATCGCAATATCTATACAGCCAGCAGTGCTGTGGCTAGAGGAGTGGTGATATGTACAATAGATGGGCACTACGTCCCTATTTCTAGGTTCATCGCCTCGCCCCTACCTTTCCTTGTTTGGGAGAATCGTTGGTAAGGTTTGCTTTGGTACGTTTTAGTACTAGGATTCACTTCTTCATAAGTCAAAGTAGGTATTGTACTTAATGTTGTTGCATCCAATGCTTTTCCTAGATTAAGGAGGTCGATTGTCCGACCTGGTGGTCCATCAAGTGTGAGGTTGTGCCTTTTCCTCTTTGCATTTGAGGAGGTTGGAGTCCTTGGTTTACCCTATTCCTATGATCTTTCAATTCTTCATTGATGATCTCTCGCCTTATCATTTCTAGTAAGGCGTTATAATTGGTATGGTCTTTGTACATCTCTCCAGAAGAGAAAAGTCATGTCTAGTCCTCCCCTTAGGGTTGTCAGAGCTTCCCTATCTGTAACTTGCACACAATAGGTCATTTCATCATTAGTGAAATGGGACAGAAAGCTTTTCAATGACTCATCTTGTTGCTGTCTTATGTCCTGTAGGCGCTGTATTGGCTCTTCACCTTCCTTGCTTGTTGCAAAGAGCTTAAGAAAAGTTTTCTTGAAGTCTGGCCAGCTTCAGATTCTTCCTTCTGAAAGTCTGCTATACTATATTTCAACCGCTCGACTTAGGGTCAAATGGAATGTTATACACTTCATGGTAGGGGTGGTTCCCCTTAGGCTCATGTGAGTCTTGAAGCTATTGAGATGCTTCGCATGATAGCCTATTCCATTATATTTGGGAATTTTAGGGAGCGGGAAGTGGTTTAGTACAGGGGCATTCTTAATCCCTTGCAAAACTGGTGGATTGTCATCGTCGTCATCAAGATCGTATGCCCTTTGTGGTTCGTCTGAATCTTTATCTACCCGAACCTGAGTTTCTAGGGGTGGTTAGGAAGGTCCCGCTTGACTGTTAGCCTATTCCGCTTTCTTCTTACGCCTATTTCTAGGGAGAATTCCGAGGTACCTCATCATAAACGGATTCATTTTATCTTTCGAACCGAGGAATTTCCTATTGCCTAGTTTTAGGTACATGTGGAGGTTGAGCATGCCTATTTCAAGGCACAAGGGGAGGTTGAGATTGCCTATTTCTAGGTAGGCTCGGGCTCAGCCCGTCAAAGACACTTAGGGACCTCTGGGGCCTGTCTTCTAGGTCGTAGTTTGGAGGAAAGTTGAATGGGACCTCATTGGGTCACTCAGTGACATAATTGGTGGATATATCAACTCTAACTTCCCTTTCTTGGGGAGCTTCCTCCCTTGCATAATATTGGTAGTCAGTCATTTGGCTTTGGAGCTCCTCTTCATCGTGGTGGTAGTTTCCTTGTGAAGGGCCATGAAATGCACTTCCTTGGGCTGTATATGGAGAAACTTGGTATCCTCTTGGCCTTGCATGTTCCTTAGCAGTTCATGTATGTCTATGTTTTGTTAGGTTATATTTATCATGTTTGCGGCCATTGTGGCCATCTCCCTAGTGAGTCGGCATATATCCTAGACCTACCTCGTGTGTGCTGTTGGTGAGGTCAATGACGAGTAGATGAGATAGCATGCAAGAGTTCCTCTTCTTCAGGGTGTTCCCTAGCCTTTCGAGGGCCAGATTCTTCATTGTTTTCTGGACAAATGATATTCCTTTTTTCAGGACTAGATTGACTTTCAATCAAACAGTTTACCTTGGACTTTCTTAATGGTTCTTTCTTCAAAAACACACCTTTTTTCAAAGGCTTGAAAATCACTTCACAATAAGAGTTGCTTCCAATTGGCTTTTTCCCACATGGTTTTCGTGGTTAAATGTGTGGAATTCTCACAAACGGCACCAATCTGTTGACACCGTTTTTCGTAACATCAACATGGACAACAGACGCTGGGCCCACTCACACCAACTCCATCAAGTTTCGACGCGTTTTGACCAAAGAACTGGTACGAAAGAGAGGGTAACGTGAACGTGGGAGATGCTCACGGTGCAAGACAAAAATGTTCAAGCACCGGTAATAATGACTAAGATGATTGCACTAACAAACAATCACCTACAAAGTGTCAATAACCAAAGATCAAACTAACAAATGTGGAAAAGCATTGGGGTATCATAAGAGTATTTTTCTTAAGTGTATTCTTGTATATTAGAATCAATATTCAAAAGACCATCCTTTACAATTTACAAAGACCACCTATTTATAAATTTTTGACCGACGTGATGATCTTTGAATCAAAACCACGCAGTCTCATCTCTTTGACTGAAACCTCATATCACTAAGTCTATCATATATTAAATTCATTAATAATGGGTTAGTCGCCCTATACATTAATTTGACACACCTGACATTTTTTTTATTACGAACGTTACATCAATCATACTTAAATATTGCCTACAAATCTTGTAAGAGACAACTTTAGTTTCAAGGACTTCGGATGAACTAAGGACTTCAACTGGAGTGAGCTTCGCATTGGTGGTCTTCTGTGTGAAGAGTTTCTGCTTCTTCTTTGATTTCTTACGTAGCGTTTCGGCTCAGGAACTTTAGCCATTTATGTAGTGTTTCAGTACACGATTTTGAGCCTTTGTTTGACTTATTTGCATTTGATCAATTTGATCTTTGTTGACTTTCCCCTCCACGTGGATTGTGATGTGGCATTTTGACTGGAGCCTTGGTGGCGAGGCGTAACAGTTGGAATTAATTGGAACACTTGATTAGTATTGAAAACTTTTTAATTTACTCAATTAATTTTAATAGCTCATTACATTATATAATTTAACCCCTATTTGATTCTGCTAAAAAATTAGATTAAAATTCAAATCAAAATCATTGGTTAATTTTAATTATACATTTCATGAGACTCATAACTTTCAATCACACATTTCATTAGCTTTTATCAAAACTCATTAAAAATCTAATTTTTATTTAAACCAAATAGAGGCTTAACATCTGGACCCATTAAATGATCCAATTAATTCCAACCACTCTTGGTATTTACAATTTTATAGACAAAATAATACTTATGATTATACAGTTTGCATATTTCTAATGCATTTTCAAGACAATTAGCGTGCACGGTGCACCAATGCACTGAAACTGCTAGCGAGTAAAACTTGTAGTCACCACAGTAAGCTTTAGGTAAGAACAGATGGACTGAAAGCAAGTTGGCCTACTAATCAAGTGCCCTCGAAATCCCCACGCCCGCTTGTTTTTTCCCATCAAAAATCTCAACGACAGCCATCTGAGAAATCACATTGAAAGCCATCAGCCTTGGCAGAGAAATATACGATTTGGGGTGTGTGTTCAAGTGTGGAGAAAAGAAGATTCAAGGCGAGAGTTGACATTTGACAGGGCATTCAAAGCTGATTAATCAAGAAATCCTCAGAAAAGAGTGAGCCAGCCAGAAAATTTGAACTTTCGATCCATAATTAAGTTTTCCTAAAAGGTTGTATAGAATTGGATAGATTGATTCGTTGGTAAATCAAGGTATTTGTTTCTGATTTTACACACAGTTAAGAATGTCTGAGACAAGAGCTGATAGTGTCGCTGTTAAAATTGATAATATGCTTATTAGCTTGTCTTCTACACCTTCAAATCCCTCAATGTTCAGAGTTGGTGATAATTTACGCAGCATAAACCCAGAGGCTTACGATCCAGAAATAATAGCCATTGGCCCATTTCACCGCAGGAAACCTAACTTGCAGAACATGGAGCAACACAAAGCCAGGTATCTACAGCTGTTTCTTCAAAGGAGAAAAGAGTCAAGTGTAGAAAGATATGTTACCACAATAAGACACTTAGAAGATAGGGCGCGAAAATGTTATGCAGAAGATATCAAACTTAAAGAAGATGAGTTCGTGGAAATGTTGATTCTTGATGGTTGTTTTATCATCGAATTTCTCTATATGTTTCAACACGAAGACCGTAGGGATGGAGATGACCCCATTTTCCAGTATGGACATATACAAAGTCATTTGTTTCATGATCTAATGGTATTTGAGAATCAGATTCCATTTTTCATCATTGATCATTTGTTCAACATGATCAAGATCAATAATGGAGACAACATCAATTCTCTAATAAGGCCTTTATTAGAAAATGGCATTTTCCCAGTGGACGATCTTCCTGAAGTCCCTATTGATGGTCACCATCTTCTTGGCATTGTACACGACATCCAATGTTCATCATTTGCAAAAATAACATTTCACAAGGAATCTGGAGGTCCTGATAATGTGCCGAATATAATTTCAGCCGTAGAGCTTAAAGAGGCAGGGATTTCCTTCAAAAAGTCGGAAGATAAGAGGTTATTTCATATTGAATTCAATAATAAAGCAATAATCATTCCAGAATGGGAAATTTCTGATTCAACAGAATCAATGTTCCGAAATCTGATTGCATATGAGTACTACCTCACAGGCAGTCCTCAAAAATATGTGACGGACTATGTATTCTTTTTGCATTGTCTCGTCCATTCCCCTGAAGATGCAAAGTTGTTGCGCTGTTATGGAATCATTAGTAACTTTTTGGGGAGCGATAAAATGGTTTATAATCTAATCAACAAGTTAGGCATGAATATCATAATTTCTGGTAAGTTTTCGTATTCTAATATTTTCAACATTGTGAACAATCATTGTGGCCACATATGGAATATAAGGATGGCAACATTAAGGCGAAAATATCTCAACAGTCCATGGGCACTCATTTCAGTCTTTGCTGCCAGTTTCTTGCTTACACTCGCCATTCTACAGACTACTTTTGCTATTCTCTCATACCGTAAGTTACTGCCTAAGTATTGTATGTTTTAACTAAGTATTGCATATTTTAGCCTTTGTTTGGAAAATGTATAAATGGTTTACAAACACGAATATTAACGGGTCCCACGAAATGTGTGGATGATAATGAGTATAGTTATGAATGTAGGGTTGAAATTAATGTTTGACTTTGAAAATGAAGCTTCTACCTTTTTTTTGAAATGCATTACTGATACATCTGTGGTGTGAGTCACCTGAACTACTAAGAGAAATTTATATTTGATTATCCAGTTGTTTAAATGCGTACATGTTATTGCAGGCAATGATCTCAAGAAGGGGAACTGATTCTAAGTGTTTGAAGGTGGCAACATTGTATGGTAACTCAAATTACTATTAACTCCAAGGAAAATACAGAGTCTACTGAGTCTATCTTGGTGTAAGAAGCAATACTAAACAAGGTTTCTATTTAATTGTCTAAGCAAATCTTGACTGTTTGTCTTTATTCTTTATTTGCTTTTAGTTTAATATATGCTTTCACGGAAAGGTTCATACGCGACAATGTTCACTGAGCTATTGAGCTTTAGAAACAATAGTCTTGTACATGAATAAGTGGTTGTTAAAGTTAAATCATCTGTTCACAAAAAATGAGTTTGCATTTTCGGTTGTTAGATAAAAAGAATATAATTAGAGTTTTATCCCTTTCTCTCACTCAATAGATCAATCTGGTCTAT